GGGCCAGCCATGGGCGGATTATGAGACAGTGGGCCCCTGGGCACTGACATGTAGAATTGACCCCGCTACCTCTCTAACAAGAGCAAGATATAACTTACTTTATAGTTGTTTTGTGTCTTTTTGTGGTCATTTTGAATCTCTTTGTAGTTGTTTTGCCCCTGTTTGTCATCCTTATGAGTCTTTTTGATCTCTAAAATGAAATTAAATGAAAATAAGAAAACAAAAAGAATTTTTAATTTCTTATCGTCTCTAAATGTAGCACTTGAAGTAGATCAGCATGGTTGAATGCACTTATTCTGAGTCGCTTTGAATAAAATCACAAGCTAAATAAATGTTATTTCACCCTAATCTGGTAATGCTGATAAATCCTCTCTGATATGGATGGGGTATTACTATGTTACAATTGGCAGTTACTGGGTATAAATAACATTGTGTAGGATTTAGGGGGATATATTAGCAGAAATTAAATATGATGCAATAAGAATGATTTCTTTCTTTAGTTTAAAATCACCTGAAAATATGAATCATCCTGTTGATATCTATATAGGGAGCAGCTCCTTGTCTACGGAGATTACCATGTTGCATTGCCATGTTTCTACAGTAGCCCAGAACAGACAAACCAAACACTGGTTAGCAGCATGTAAAAACTTCCTGGGCATCTTGATCAGAAATAAGGTGAGCACACAATGAATTATCAGAGACAAGAGATGATCACACATTAGCAGGCGCTGGGCGAACAACCCATCTGCAATGTGCAGAACAGCTTCGGAGAAATACTGATTTGTGACATAAAACTGCTTTATTCAGTGTTTTAGCCAGTTTTAATCACCACGTCTGTTTGTTTTAGAGAGGAAAAGAACACTGTGGGTAATTCTGCTCCTGTTAAAAACCTGAAGGAAATCTTACAAGGACATGCCACTAAATCCCCTTAATCTTACACACTGGACCTTAAAGAACTTGTTTGTGTAGAGCTCCCCCTTTCTAATTTAATGATGTGAACATTCGTGAGTTTGAACTTGAGACGAGTTGGTGCAGCGAGCCTCTGGGCTTTTTCATGTTTCTCACTCAAACACTTACACGCATTTATATTCACCTATTTCGCCACACAATCTGCTAATGTGGGACACTGACCAGCTTCAACAGCTCCCGGAGCAGCTGGAGGTGAAGTGAACCCAGTCACTCCCTCCTTCATTAATTCACTTCTTAATTCACACTCCCCCTCCCCACGCACACACACACATACATACACCGTCCCATACTCTCTTCCCCTTTACTGCTGTATGTAGAGGGACATCCTCTTATCGCCTCCTGGTATCTGCTACTGGGTAAAGGAAAAACAATGCTACATCCATGTTTCATAATCTCTATTCTGTGTGTGGGTTCATGCCTGTGGCAGGAGACGCACTATGAGGATTTATAGCCTTTAGAAGCACTGACTCCCCAGCCGCCCCCCCTCTTCCAAGCCCGGTGTCCTTGCCAGCAGGAAAAGTGGTGCACTGTTGCAGACAGATAGCATCTGATAGTTGGTTGTTGTTACCCCTAAGACAACTGCACAGTCAGATTTCAGCATCCTCTCTCTATCTCTCTGCATGAGACCGACACAAGTTGACTACAATCTGACCAAACACACCATAAAGCATTATGATCCATTAGCCAATGACCCAGGAGTGTCTCCGATGCCCCCTCTGCAAACTAATTTCTGGAACAAAAATGGTGGAGTAAATCTTTGTCTGTCTCTGACTCCCTCTCTTTTCTTTCTTTCTCTCTCCCTCGTGCTCCCTTTCTCTTTACTCATCTGTTAAATGGAGCCTTGTTGGGAAATGAGCCAAAGCTGTTCACCCAGCCTCTAGGACTCCAGGAAAAGTGGCGACTATATTTATAGCTGCTGCCTGGTTGTGCTAAATAAGGTGGAACCGTCAGCAAATGAATATTCAGTTTAAAGTGGGATTAAGCACTTAAATGGTTGATGGTGGCCCGCACTTAACATCTAGTTTACAACGTGCCACTTCCCCAAGTGGTCATGTGCTGTGTTAATTGTTTATTACTTATCTTCAAAGATACTACCAAGACATGGACTGTGAAGCTGTGGAATAAATGAGATGAACCTCCCAAAGATTTACATAGGGTCACAGATCAGATGACCTATCAGATCTCTAGATTAAACATGGATTAGGATGGCTTTGACATAGTGACCAGTAATCTTCTGAGAGAGCGCAGGAGAACAGATGGTGCATGATACACGCGATCTGACAATGTTGTTTGCACAGCACCGCTGGATAAAGTTTTCTGATATGATGACAGATTTTTTTCTGATATGATGATGGCATTAACTGACAATATACAGCACGGGGGCAGCGTGGTGGTGCAGAGGTTAACACTGTTGCCTCACATGTGAGGGTTCCTGGTCCAAATCTGGGGTGGGGGAGCAGTTCTGTGCAGAGTCTGCACGTCAGAATAGGGTTGCATGTTGACAATTTTGGAACAAAACAAAAGGTAAGATTGAGAGTCTCTCCATGGGAAATTTTAAAAAAGTAGGTTTATACATTTAGTCCTTCTCAGGCATGCTCAGGGGTTTAGTGTTGTCAGAGCCACAGGAACGATGCTCTGCAATGCTTTTTATTTCTCCAGCTGAGGATTAGAATATATGCACTTCACATAATCAGGTCGAAATTAATATATATTTTTAAACATATAAAAAAACACTCATTACTAGAAGTGTGTGTCATCCAAGAGAGAGAATAAAAACTAAAAAGTAATGGTCAGAGTTGTCATGCTGAAATTAAAGTATGCTGATGGACTCACATCATTAAATCACACATTGAGTAACATTACAAGCAAACACCCTGCTGCTGCTAGAGGCAGCAAAACATCCTTTCATGTTATAGTTACAGTTAATTGATATATGTCAAACTCTCCACGGTATGAACAGTGGTTACATAAGCCTCAAAACCAGCCACAACTCAGCCTTGAGCAAGAGTAACCATTCTCTATTGACCAATCAATGGACTGCAGTGTTTCTAGCTCCACCTTTTAGTGCCAGATCTGTGTGCTAGGTACCCCAACAGAGGGTGAGCGAAAATGGGGACGGTACGGAACTGTTCCATTGGTCCCATCCACAACTTTTCACTGTGGAAGCGGAAAAAATATGCACCAAACTAAACTGAACCTTACTGTACTACTTGGTGGAAACAGGGCTTATGTGTCAGTCCCGTGATAGTATGGCAACTTATCCAGGGTGTACCCCGCCTCTTACCCAGTGTCAGCTGGATAGGCTCCATTGATTTCTTATTTTTAGGGCTGTAATCAACCAAAGGAAATCTTGGTCAACTAGAATTCTGTTTAATCTTCAACCAGTCGATTAGTTGATGCAGAAAAAATCCTTCATGTTAACCCCAAGTTAACTATATCAGCCACAGTGCACTCTACCAGCTAGCATTGTGTGTCTTAACACCAAGCATTGAGCTGATGAGAAAAATCTGACATACTGGACACTATAGAAAGTAACTCTGGAGTTGACAATGTCATATACAACATAACGTTACGAACGTTTAATAACTCTGTAACGATGCTTGTGAGGGTGAGAGACTTTTAGCCCAGTAGATAATGTTAGCCATCCTGCCACTCCAATGAGGGCTTCAGTATGATCCTATTCCTTTCAGAAGCTTTGTAATCCAGCCTCACACTGCAGTGTCTTTTCAGAGATTAGTAAAATAAATCCACAATGATAATTCTGACACTGAATGTCTGCTGTGATTATTTGTTAAAATCTTCAGTTGAAAATGAGAGTTGAAAAAAGGTTTAACTTTTAGGTAGAAAGCGGTGCTTGTCAATGTCACCAGCCATCCACGCTCAATGGAGAAGGGGCGGGAGGAATACCACAAAGACCAACCATCACAGAAGACATCTGCATGTGCTGAACAACAACTGTCGTTTTCAGCTCGAAAAATTACTGCTTGGTGGACACACGGCTGTGTTAAAGTAACACCATTAACTGACCCTTTGCTAAGTCACGCCTGCGGACGCAGACTGGCTAATCATGATGTAGCATCGGCTCAGCTGAGACACTGTCCAACAACAACACAGCTGTGCTCCATTGACTCTGCAATTGTTTCAGATTTTTCCTAAAGTATTTCTTCAGGGAGAGCAGCTAGTTACAGTGTGGGCTCCATGCTTACTCCGACAGCTTGTCGGACCATCACAAAGGGGCAGACGAAGGAAAAGGTCAACAGTCCAAAATGTGACAGCCCTATTTATTTTATACTTAATATTACTAATTACCTCATGGGCATACACTAACACCAGTACAGCTGGTACAAACTGAACCCATTTTTAATCTTGATATCTTGAGATGAGAGTTCAAGGGACCTCTCTGAAAATCACCATGATGGTATTCCCTCGCCAAAATTTAGCCTAAGTTTGGAGCCCTGTTTAGCCCCTTTCCCAAAAAGCTAGTGGATGCCTTAGGTGCCAAGTCACAAGATCATCATATATTCACACTAGCTTGATAAATGAGCCTATCACAGCCTCCTACAGACAGTACTGTCAGCCTCCAATTACTTCTGCTGGGTGTCACTGACTGTATATCATGAGTATTTATCTACTGGCATCCCTGTATGATCTCTATAGACTATTCAGACTGTATAGTAATCTTTATGGCACTTGAGCTTCTGTAAATTCTCCTATAGAGACTTATTTTATGTCTATGTTGTATTCTTTATGTCCTATGGCCTACTAACCTGCTCTTAGCCTCTATAGCAGCTCTACAGTTGCACAATGACATTTCTATGACATCAAACTCTCCTTCAATATTTCCATCCGGATCGTCGGGTCCCAAGGTTCCCCCTCAGCCCTTCAAATCCCCATCCCGTGTGTGTGTTGACTGACTGGTCGTGATCTCAATCGGCTCTCAGATAGCGCGGCTCCTTTCAGCGCGGGCAGCTGAGGCTCTGTGTGTGGGAGGGACTAACAGAGAGCTCCCCTCAGTGCAGCCTGCCGCCACAGCATCGAGCAGAGAGAGAATATATTCAAAGCATATTCACAGATAAGGCTTTCTGTTTTAATCTGTCCCCGCTGTGTGCCCTCACCCACTGAAGTGTCTATGAAGAGGAGAAGGCGGAAGCGATGCTGAAGTAGCGCGGTGAGTTGATTTCTGTGTATTTGTGCAGTGTGAGGAGGTTTTTGTTGGGGATTAGGAAAAGATATAACCGGGACTGTGCATGACTGGTCCACCCTTATGCAGAGGAGCATCTCACGTCTTCTGCTGAATCCAAATAAAGTGTGCAGGAGGGTTCCGACACACATCATGGAGGTGTTTTGTATTAAAATCAGCTGTAGTGTGAAATCTTTTCATTGTGATTCTTCCGAAGTAGATCAGCTGTGATTATGTAAATATTCTGTGTGATTTAGTTTAGCACAGTTTTGCTTGTGTGTTGATTTTAGAGCTTGTGTTCATTTCAAAACAGAATTACAAAATAGCTTAATCTCTGTTAATACGTGGATTGTTTCCCTAATTGGATACAGAGGCATTTGGCTAATCACAGCCACCGTAAGCGCCTTTCAAAGAAGGATCCACGGATTTTTCTTAATCGATCTAAACAACTTTAAAGTGTTGTTGATGTCCATATATCCTCACTATAAGGTGCGTGCATTTTGCGCATCGCTCCAAATTACGCACGTGTTTGCGCAGTAGATTTAAGGTTCCACGATTTACAATGAGGGCAATCTAATTAAGATGCACCCTTTAACTTAGAACTGGTGTGTGTCCTCTTATTAGGGATGCTGTGGAGGCAAAACATCGTGGGAGGAAGGCTCAGTGCGAACCAGCGGGTGGTGAAACACGAATGGCATCTCCGGAGCTGCTTCCTGCAGAAGAGAGAGGCAAACAGCCCGATCCTGCCGACGTCCTTGACCGGATTTCCAGTGCGCTGCATGCCCGCAAGTCGGGCGGATCAACAGGAGGAGCGCTCCCAGGGGAGAGCGGCTGTAACCCGGCCCGCAGTTGCCATGGCCGGTGTCATTCAGCAGCACCAAGGACGGCGCCGCGCAAGGGAGGCGCGGAGGTTAAACTCGGTCACCTCGGCGAGGAGAAAGTCCGGGTTTGTTGCGACGAGGAATTAGAGACATCTTTCACCTATATTGATGAGAATGTTAACCTGCGACTGGCTAGTCCGGAGACTAGTTGTAAAAGTACTCACAGACCCGTGCGCAACGGCGAGCCTTGTTCTGAGACTTTCCCGGAGCTTTCCTTCATGTCCGAGGATGATCTCTCCTTCGGGGAGGGCCCCGGGACTTCTATAGACTACGGGTTTATCAGTGCAGTCACGTTCTTAGTGACCGGGATCTCCTTGGTGATCATCTCCTACGCCGTGCCTCGGGATGTGGTGGTGGACCGTGACAGCGTGTCGGCGAGGGAGATGGAGAGGCTGGAGATGGAGAGCGCCCGGATAGGTGCCCACCTGGATCGGTGCGTCATAGCGGGACTGTGCCTGCTCACGCTGGGCGGCGTGGTGCTCTCCACGCTGCTCATGATCTCAATGTGGAAGGGGGAGATGTACAGGCGAAAGGTCATCGCTTATTCCAAGCGATCAGCCAAACTGTATGGCTCCATCAGCCTGAAAACCAGATCCAGCCCCAGCCACTCTTCTGCGCACTTGTCCCTGGAGGAGGAAATAGAGGAAACTTTGGCTTAAATTGCTGCTCTGTGTGCAAACCTTTTGTGTATAACTGAGGAATTAATGCCATTCACACACACATTCTCTAACATATTGTAGCCTAAAACTGTATTCATACATTCAAAGTGTAAGTCTGCAACATTTTGTCATATACTGTAAAAATAGCTTGAATACTGTATATCCAAACAGAAGGGACAAGAAAAGCACTCAAATGCAAAGTGGGGAATTGCCAGAAAAAGAAAAACGTTATGTGGTATCAAATGGCTCCCAAATGATAAAGGCACTAAACCATAAAAGTGATGAGGGAGAATGTTAAGAGCTTTGTGTCACAAACACTGGATCACATTTTTCTGTACCCAGGATGCAATCTCTGAGAGCTTCCATTTATTATTAAGGCTATTCATATTTAATGCGAAATTGTGCACGGACATATTTCAGGAAGTAAGGGAAGTGTGTGTCCGCAGGGCAGGAGAGTGGGAGTAAAGGGGGAGATGTAAAGCTGTCCCTGTCCACTTTGATGTGGGAGAGTCAGCTCAGTGGTCCACATGGTAATATCCAGTGACAGTCACTCTGGTGCAGTGCTGAGGTAAGCCAGTAAGCCCGGCTTCGTGCATCTGAGCCAAAGCTCCACGTCGGTTTGATTGTACTGTGCAATTTGACTGCATTCGACAGCGCTGACACACACTGTTCACCCTCCTCTGCACTGGCTTGATCCTCTCTGCTCTTCTTCTCCTCCTCCTTCCTTCACCTTCTCTCTCCTGGAGGAGACTTTCTTTTCCCCTTGCGGTTTTTCCGGTGCTCTCCTCAGCCTATGAACACTGTATATTCACATTAAAAGGGTCCTGGATGACCACAGCCAAGTGCCTGTGACATTTCATGGTTGATGAGCCTCTTCCTCACCTGCCTCCTTTCATTCTCTTTTTCTCTCTACGTAAGGACGGAGTTAAGAACGCCTAATCACACATGAAAGAGTTGCCCTACTTCCAAAACCTTAAGCCTTCACTACTTCAAAGAGCTAATTACATTTCCAAAGTGAGGTATCAGTCTTTTTAAAAGGTTTTATATTTGTGTGCAGACTTGCTGAAAATGTTAATGCCACAGTGTCCAGGCAAGTCAGAAACCAACTTTCTTTTCTCAGTGGGGGAAGATTTAAGTTTCTGTCTTTGCTAAGTCTGTGTGAAAGCAACCTCCTCTTTCTCCCTGGAGGTTATTAATGCTGTCTGAAGAGGCCTGCAGAAAAGAATAAAGAATGAAATAGTATTGAAAAACATTTTTCGTGTAGGCTACCCTGTAAGGCTTATAAATCATGCATGAACTGCTAGAATTCGTTCATATATTTGCATATATTCATATACAAAGCTAAACGCTGCATTCCGCAAGACAAGTGCTAATGATTCTTATGCAGTGTCACTCTTACCTTGGTTCCCTTTCCTTTCTTTTCTTGAGCTGTGTGACCCTATTTCAAGGCGTACATTCAGAACGACATGAGTCAGTCTCTGTTAATGAGATGCGTAGGCTGATTACTCTATGGTAAACAGCTCGAGGCCACACCGTAGCTGTGCTTTCATTCAGTTGCATTACCTCTACTGTCACAGCATATCTATGTATTCTATGTGCCAGTCAGTGCAGATGAAGCAGTGTGTTTCAAATGAAAAGACCGGATCACTGGAGTCTAATGAGTTATTCAGCCAGCATTGTCATTCAAAAATCATTAGTGGCAGCAATGAACTAATACAAGTTTGTGTCACTGCAGCTTTTCATCTTCTGAGTCTGTGACCACAGAGCTGACAAGTGTGTGTGCATCCCTGAAAAGCAACCGTTACGTCCTGAAATGGCAGTGAAATGCCAAATGAAGAGATTTCCAGGAAAGGTAATAAAAATTAATGATCCATATGAGGCAGTGTTGTCTGTTCTCTTCACAGAAGCTGTAAATCCACAACCATTATTACAGATGTTAAAGCGATACTTCATTTAGCGAGCTTTCCTGGTGTTGTTGGCCGTGGAAACGCGGTGCGACGCCCAAGTGCTGGACATTTCTCACTGCTTCCTTTTTCCTTTCCCTCTCACCAATAAATTCATGTAAAATTAAACTTGTTCACCGCTCAGAGGGCAGCCAACAACAATGCTGCCAATGCCAAATATTCCATAGGATAATACTGAGGAATTAATTCAAACTCCAGCAATATAATGGCAACATTACAGATGCAGTGCATCAGTGCTTTTCATTCAGCGTCAGAGTCATATTCAGAGGAGGCATCATCTGTGAGAATGCCACTCTTGTGACACACAGAGGATCATAAATGCCCGAGGGAAGCCTTTAACATTGAAGACTTCAAACAGACTCATCTGCAGTATGTAATGCACTACACTAGATTTTCAAACATACACTTTCCTCCCCCCTCTCTCTGTCTTTCTGTCCTCCTCCGTGGTTGGCACCGTGCCTCACAACCAACACCAGGCTTCCCCTCATACAGCCAACTAAACGTGTTTGGGGGATTTAATCAGGGATTTGCTTGAAGCGACAGCATTTTACATGCCAAGCTCAAGTGTATTTCCAGAGGTCTCATACATAAGCTCTTTATCCTTGAGCAGTGCACAGCTAAATCACCCTTATTGATATTTGGTTGGTTCCTCTGTAAGTCGATCCCTTCAGGTAAGGCCGGAGAGCAGCTTAACTGCTGCCATCAGCTAATTTCCCAGAAGTGTTATTACACTCCTGCATCTTGTCAATGCTAATACTCAAAGTGTGCACGAGCGTGTGAGTATTTATATGACTTTGCTTAGGTGTTGTGTGTCACCTCAGATTAAAGAGCTGCTGACCCTAAAAAATTCATATCAAAGAGTTTCTATGGAGACATTTAGTCTCCAAAGATGGTTTAAATAGGCTTTTCCACACTGGGAAGAATAAAAGTCTCTGGAGAATGCAGACAGCCAGAGTAAGAGGAAGCTACTTAACACTGACATACTATATATGAAGCAGGAGTGAAAGGAATAGTTTTGGGAAATGTGCTTATTAGATCTTAGATGAGATGATCCTTACCGCTCTCATGTGTGTTCAATATGAAGCTACAGACATCAGCTTAGCGTTGCTTAGCATAAACAATGGAAAGGGAGAAACAGCAAGGCAGGCTCTGTTGGAAGTTAACAAAATGGCCTGCTAACACCTTTAAAGCTCACTGATGAAGTTGCGAAGTGGAGAAGCTATCTTGGTACCCCTTGTTTCAAAAGTAAAAGTAATTTTCCCATAGAGAGGGTTACATGACCTCTGTGGCTTAGATAGGCATAAAACTCTGCCAGTTAATCGTCAGCGTAAAAAAACTAGAATAATACAATACAGTAATCCATGACTTAAAACAAGTAATATAATAATAATGTTTTGTGTAGCACTTATCTTAACAAAGTTACAAAGTGCTTCAAACAGGCTAGTGCATGATAATAAGAAAACAATAATATACAATATTTTAAAAAACAATAAGAGCTAAGAACATAGTGTGTACATAGACAAAACAGAACAAAAGGAAATAAAACACAAAAATAACAAATCATAAAAGTACAAATCAGGCATTAAAGGGAAAGATTTCCTTTAAAATTATGTTTTAAGCAATGGTTTAAAAACAAGTAATGTTCTAGCTATTTTAATTCCCTCAGGCAGAGAATTCCAGAACCTTGGGTTCTTGATGTGAAAAGCCCAGTCACCTGTAGTTACCAGCCTTGACCTAGGGACGATGAATGAGAGTAGGCTTGAGGATCTCAGGTCACGATTTGGAGCATTGGTAATCAGAAGCTCAGCTATATACTGTAACTAGGGGCTAAACCATGTTGAGCTTTAAAAGTTATTAAAATTATATTAAATCAATTCAGAAGTTACCTGGCAACCAATGGAGGGAGGTGAGAACTGGGCACCTACACCTAATTGTGTGACCTACAGCATTCTGCACTAGTTGAAGCTGAGCTACTGAAGCTTTACTGAGGCATGGGAACAGTGCATTACAGTGGTCGAGACGCGAGAATACAAATGCATGAATAAGTCTTTCTAGCTCAGGAAAAGACAGAGCTGATTTATTTCGGAGGTGGAAGTATCAAGAATTGTGGTTGAAAATGTGGTGGTTTAGAATGAAATTGAGAATCAAAAGTGCTGCCTAAATTTCTCATTGTAGATTTTATATTATATTAATTGGTTGTGACGGTATCACAATGACAAAATCTGCCCACTGAGAGACAGACAGACATATAAACACCTGGCAGCGTTTAAATTCAAATGCTGTAGCTTTATATTTAGTTTACAGACATGAGAGCGGCATCGATCTTCTCATCTAACTGTTAATAAGAGGAGAGTGAATGATCACATCAAGCAAAATGTCAAACCATTCCTTTAACAGTGTGCAGTGTACATGCAACAGTGTGGCGTGTACACTCAGGCTTTAGGCTAAAAGTAGAAAGAACTGCCTCTTGTTGGCCATACATTTTAGATATATTCATATCTGTGGTGAGTTTGCCCTCCATCTATCAGTGGATAGTGAAGCCAAAAAAAAAAAAAAAAAAAAAAAAAGATTTCCACTTCGATTGATTGCTTTGGAGGGGAAGACTAAAGCCAAACTCCTCAGGGATATGACTTCATTCTTGGTTGCTCCCTCCCCTGCCTTGCTCAGACAGGATATTTTTAGTCAATGTGCATATTGGATTTTTGGAGAGCTCATTGTATTGTAAATGTAGTCCACAAAGCTCATTGCTCAGGATGCACTTAGCCAGGCTGTTTTACATTTTGCCTGCAAGAACATCCTTGTTCCACTCTGTCCGAGCCCTTTCCCGTGGTTTCACTTTTACATAACATTAAAGCAAAAATAAGTTAATTCCGCCTGTGTGTGTTTTCTTCAGTTTATTATTAGATGCCTCCTCTTCATCAGTACTGTCTTGTCCTTTCCTTACTCTTGTGCCATGCTATTTTAAAATCCTCCGTGGTTCAGCAGTTTCCTATTCCACGTAGTAAAACAAAACCCCATTCTTACAAGAAAGGACCGCAACTACGGCTCCGTGTCAAATCGATTTACGTCCCTGGTCAGCTGAGATCTGCATGGCTGACCCTGAAACAGTCCTCAGAATCGCTTCGTCACTTGCTCACTGGTCAACCTCCCCGATGCCGGTAATCAGGCCCACTTCAACCAGACACGAGAACGACTGCCGAATCATTTCCTGTGTTGTACTTGGCACCTTAAAATCACTTTCTCAGACGGATAAACTATCAAGCGCTTTGGCTGCTATGGTAGATGAGAGAGGAAATGAGGTGATCACTTGGATCAATCTTACAGTGAAAACCACTCAACCGCTGCAGTAAGGCAATACAGGTTACATCTCTCACTCTCTCTGTCTCTCTTAGCCTCTGCGATCATCCGCTACAGTGAATTTTAAAATGGGCTGTTTGCGATGGCAGAGGCCGTGCTCCTGCACAGTGATGTGGTTACACAGTGGCTGCTTTCACAATAACATTACCATCATATTTTCAATGAGCTGAATGCCTCCCCAGCTTAGCAGAGTGGGGTAATGTCGACATGTTGCACAAACAAATCACAAGCTTGGTTCACCTCTTGATCACCTCGCTGTTTAGTCCCTTCTGTTGTAAATCACACAGTCTTGCTGGGCTCCATTGATTTAATTTGTATCAAATTGCTAATGCAGTTATTCGTCATGCATGGCCTCCCGTGTAGCTTGTTTCCCCCATTATGCCTATGCATTTACCTCTAATTACAGCAAATAATGATTGCTTGCTAGTTTTGCTGCAGTAAATACTGTAAGTGGGCTAGAATGTGGCCTTTAGAAAGACACCAGCGAGCCAAAAAAAACAGCTTGTTTATCTCCCCCCCTTTAATGTCTAAACAACAGAATGCAATGGAGAGGCATGCTGAGGAGTCTGACACATGCATACCTAAAATACATTATGGTTGTCTGTGCATTTTATTTTCTACAGACATTTCTTCAAAGACAACTGCCTCATTGGCTGAGTTAAACCTCTGTAGAGCTGAATAAATAAGTAAACTGAAACTCTGGAGCCATGCTAGCAGTTCTGGAAGGCTATACTTAGGCTCAGCGACACAGAGTTGGGAAGCGTGCAGCACTGCCATCGCTTATTTGCCTCTCAGACAGATCCAAAGCAAATCATTTCATGTGTACATACATTTGCAACACAAGTCTGTCTTTTCCCTGCAAGCTGTTCTGTCCAGTGAGATCAACCACAGAAACAAGGTGCAGAATTGTCTCATGACTTTGCCTGTGCACATCTGAGCGGTGGATGATGTCCCTCGTGCATCAGTTGCCATCGGGAAAGCCCCAAACTTCAGTGATTAAATGTTCTTGATTGGATGAAATCTGTCGTTTTCACAGGTGCTTTCTGATGCCTTATACTTTGCAGTTTCACAGCCTCTCCTCCAGACTCCCAAACTTTGCTGCACACCAGGGATGCCATTCCACTGCAACACTGGTTAGAATCTCCTGCATTTACAGTCCACTTTTTGTTTCTTTTCACTGTCATGTCTAGTGTCTGTATAAAGAGCACACGAGCAATCTACACATAATTATAGTGACACCTAGCATTCACAAAAGAAACTGCATTTTAACATAGTGGAGAGAGCTGTAGTTTAGACACCCCGTTTATTCCCCATCCTAGCATGTTAGCATGTCTACATTTGCCACAGCTGAGGCTGAGTGGAATTTCAGTGGTTTACAAGTGTTTGGCCATAAAACAGAGTATTGGACAAATTGAAATTTTGACCTGATGGTGTTGTAGCAACACATTCTCACTCGGACCTTGTCACATATCAGTGTTTGGTCATGGACTTTCTACATCCAGATATGACACGCAAGGTACCCTGGGTGCGTTGATTGTTGACGTCCTGGGACGCCGTGTCAAGTTCTGCCTGTTACATGCATTGTCTTCGTTCAAAATAGACTTCTGTTTTCACAGGAAATTTACCACTTACCTACAGTGTCTTTCAAAAAAAACGCACTACATCACACGTGGTGGTTGGGTTTAGGAAAAAGAACATGGTTTGGCTTAATAATCTTACAGGACACGAGCACCACTCTCCCTGGTTAAAGTCTGTGTTTCTTGGACCTGCCCACCAGAGTTATCGGAGTTAAGTCGCTTAAACTTTCATTGTCGTCCCACCGTGTTTCCCTCTGACACTGCTCGCGTATCATGCTGACCCTAAAGGAAGGTTTTTTTTCGTCAATGTCTGATGCTGCAAGTCACTGCTCAAGTGCTGGATTTTGATGACTTTGGACTGAGGTTGATTGTAGAACTTGATGTAACTTCACAGTTAGGAAACTACATCTACCATTGTTCATTAACAGAAGTATGGTTAACATCCGGATTTAGACAGATAGGCAGGCTATTGGTTAGCATAGATGATATTTATGAGAGCTAACTTTGTCTGATTATTAAAACTTGTCAAAGGGCACTACAAGTTGTGATCATTGTAGTTGAGACGGTGCTAGAGAAAAGGATAAGGGATCAATCACCACCATCATTACACCATCTGTGAACTATGAATGTACAAAATATCATGTCAATTCATCCAGTTATTACTAAAATATTTCACTGGAAAGGAGAAATTTTGACTGGCCAGTGGCACTACAGGAAACGTCAGGGAATGAAGTCCTTAGGATTAGTATGGTTCTTTTGGGTACCATAGATATCTGTAATATATCTGAGTAAACCTCAGAGGATCATCAGTGCCAGTTGTCTTTATCCTTTACAGACTATAATGCCTGTGCAAAACTTTCAGACAATCCATCCAGTTTTTGAGATATCTTAGTCTGAAGCCATAGTAATGGACTGACACACTTGTCCCATCCCTTTAGCCATGCCTCCAGCCTGGCTTAAAACAGCAAAATCTGACCTTTTAAGTTCAAATTAGCAATATTGGCAGATTGGAATCAGTGCTGACCTTTGCAAGAACATGAATGCCACAGTCATAAAGGAATGACAAAAATGCCACTGCCATTGTAATGTGATTTATATTTTGACCAGTGTTCCTTGCCATTCAGGTTGACATTTATTCAGCTTGTGCTTAGAGAAAAACTGTAGTTTGTTGGCTGCACCCACTTGGGTTTAACACAACTTATATCATTATTTCTACATGCATGAAATGTGTTTGTGTGCATGTGTCTGTTTGCATATTCCAGCTCAAAGAGGAAAAACTGGCTTCGCAACAGTACGCTGTGTTTAGACTAAGAGTCCGGCAGCAGATAGAGGATAGGCTGTGTACGCAGTCAGCGGCGGTGTTGGGTCTGAGGCCAAGACCAAAAGCAGGCGCTGCAGAGCTGATTGTCTGCGCTGCATTTCATTTGCCTCCAGTGTTGTGTTACCAGTGAGCATTGGACTGCTGAGAGATGATACTGGCTGGTGGAGACAACAGGATGTGGAGAGGGGGGATGCTGACGGGTGAACACACACATGGGAGCACACACTTGTACACTCTCACATATGCACATACACACACTCAGACACATGCACATATGGTTGCATGCCTGTATGCACATTGTCACACAGAGTTCAGTGGTATGCTTTTCTCAAAATAAGATGGGAATCATTTTATCGATCTCTGTGGGTAAACTGGGTTATTGCAAACGGTCAGAGTCCAAATAAAAAAACAAACTTACCTTACAAAATATAGATTATTGGTAGAGGAGGTATTCACATCCTTTACTTCACTGAGGTAGCAATGCCATAATGTAAAAATACTTAACTAAAACCTTCTTAGATATACTACACACCATTTTTTTTATAGACTCACAGAAGTAATCCCTCTCAGTCATCACTTATGACCCACTAGAAGTATGTGGCGATGTATTTTTCTGCAAAGACTCTGCTCTCTGCTTGTATTTTCTTCTTATTTTTTGTGTACAGGATATTTATAGGCATATACCCCCAGATCGCTCAGGTGAGGTTGGGGATTTATAATAAGGTAGCAACCAGGTGCCAGACTGTATGTAGCAGGGGTCTTAAAGAGTCAATGCCTTTAAAGGCACTGTATGTAAGAATGTCGCCAAAATGGACACTGCACTCAAATTCAAAATACTGCTGCGAGTCGTGTCCGCCCCCCCCTCCCCTACAGATTCGAGGTTGCTGGACAGCGGCACGCTGGAGACTGATTTGTTTGGCCACGGCCGGCTGCCGTGGCAGGGCTGCGTCGCCGCATCCTTGATCTTCAGTTTTCCAGTGGACCGTTCGAGCAAGTCCGGCTTCTCTGCTGCTAACGCTGCTGCCGGGATACAGCTCATGAGGAGCCAGCTGCTAATGCTATGTACTGGGACACTGCTAATGCTGCTTGCCGTGCTGCTGTAGCTCAGTCGTAACTGTAACTGATGCTGAGACTCTGCTGACCGCGTGACTGGTAGACGGTGGCGGGTGGCGCAACAGGCCAAAACACAAATTCAAAACAAACAAAAATTTTTTAAATGCGAATATTCTGGCTGTACTATTGTTGTCGGTGAGATCAGTATGTTATATTAACATTATTCCTTAGTCTCTGTGACATATTAGGAGGATTTTATGACTATTTGCTTTAGATTTCTTACATATAGCTCCTTTAAAAAAAAGCAAATATAGCAAGGTGAAACATCAAACAAGAGTAAATGTGGGGTTGGCTTTTACTTTCACTTTTGCCGGCAAGCAGGTCTACAAACAGTAACTCACAATCCTGCATAGTGTACCTTTAAGTAAAAGTCCTGCATTCAAAACTTTAATTACAGTGACTAAGAGCATATGAAGGAAGAAGAAGAAGAAGAAGAAGAAGAAGAAGAAAAATAAGAAGAATTAATTAATCCCTGAGGGGAAATTCAATCTTGTCACTCT